AATGCAATCAGCAGGGTAATTGCCCGCAATCTGTGTGCTCGCGATTACCGATATTACGACCAGTGCAGGGTGCGGGCGACGACCGATAGCGGCGCTGTCATAGGCTGTCGATGCTGTACTTGACTAGAAGATAACCTAGGCCGAAGGACAAAGCTACAAGCATTGAACTTCATTGTGTAACAATTTATAGTTAGATCTGTATCAGTAAAGATTTACCGAGCGCTGATAACTACAAAAGATCGATTAGCAAAGTTCTGAAAGGCATTGTAGTTTTAAGTTTTAATTTTTTTGACATCCTAAGGGTCTGCTGTAAAGCGTCACAGCATACCTACCTACACATTGTCACTACTAATGCTGAGTTGTGGGTTTTTTTTGTCGAATACTACGAGTAGGTATACTAACTACTCAATTCTGAAGCTCATCGTGATCATTGTAGTCAAAAAAAATTTAAGATATGAAGTTATTTTCAGGTTCTTGCTCTGGTACTTCTGTATTTACACATTACACATTAAAAAGCTTTAACTTAATATTAGTGACTTCTTAAACCTACATAATAGCATGGTGTACAACTCATTCTTAGTGATAGATTTCTCTATGTAAATTTACTTCCACTAGGCTTTCCCCAGTCAAGGTGTTATGATGGTTCATTGACCATGGGCATGGTTTAATTAAAGCTCCAATAAATTTTATGAGCTTTCTTGTGGACATGGTTATTATAAACCATGCATTAGCGATGGTATCTAGTCACAATATTCTAAGTGGGCTGGCACCTGCGCGCGCGCAGATAAGGATTGGCGACACAGATCGATAGCGCCGAGCTGTTTGTGGATCGATAACTTTCTCGATATCCACATTATCGCCGAAAGCAAACACACCTATCTCCAACGGCGCTAGAACGTAAAGAATGCGTTTCAAAACTTCGTAATAATTAACACTAATTGTCAAACCTTTTGGTCTTTCCGAAGCTTTATTCTTTCCATAGTTAGATTCTCGTAAAATTTGTATTATCGAGTAATAACCATTTTGTAAATGGAAATTAGATCTTATAAGATACGAGCTTATGACACATTAATTGTTAGGTTGTATCCATGCTTGCCATGAAGGTTGTCGAAAGACAATGACGACCGTGCCATTATATTTCAACAATCGATCTAATTATCTCAATTCCTGAAAGTATGGCACATATTGACAGCCCAAAAACATCGATGTCCCAAATAAAGTTCACCTGTTTCCTTATCAGTGCGTAACGCGGCAGTAACGTGGTGCGGGCGGGATGCGATGCGCACCCGCCACTCGAGTCGCGCGTAACGCGGGAAACACTTCGCATAATTAGTCCAACTCGTGTTCGGGACTACAGGGGTCTAGGACTCTCGGAGCAAGTTTGGCAGAAACGTTGGTTTTATTGGCCAATGTGTAGAGCGGGAATTATTTCTGCATCTAAGATAACTGATTAAAGTTATTATCATAGGTAATTAGCCACTAATTACCTATTAAACACTATTCCTGAGCGTTACTTGTCAGTTTTTGTATTTTTTTTGTGCTGGTATAAAAATAAGTTATCTTTGTTTAAGTAATTAATTATGCAAATTAATTATTAAAGTCAACATCATTTAATGCTTAATTAATTGTACTATATTGTTTGTATGTTTTATTAAATTCATTTATATTTAATTTAATATTTTACAATAGTGAGTATGTCATATTTGCATAAGTACCAGTTATCTGTATCTCTTGAAGCTCCGACCGATCTGTTCCCACGATTCTGCCAAACTTACAAGTATATTCACAGTGCGTGCGAGTATATTCACAGTGCGTGCGAGTCATCTGGTGTGCATTACAAACTGTTTTGATTCTGTGTTTGACTGTCATTTGTGACTTTTGTGAGTGATTCATTTGGGACTTTTAATCTTGGGAGATCGACGCAAAGATCATGGATCTTAGTCAGGTACGTGCTACTTAATAAGAGTATTTGGGTGGTGGTGTACGAATGGTAACATAATATCTTGATATTTTATGGAATACCTTATACATAGTTGTCAAAACGGTCATGAGAGCGGTCAATTACGTCTGTTATTCAGAAATAGGAACGATTGTGTATTAGGTATTCGATTGACTAGCTTTCAATTATGCACTTCTGCAGAGAGACAAAAGGAGTGAGAGAGGTACTAAAGCACGTAAAGCTCTAGTTCAAAATGTACGTTCCTTATCTCGCAGCAGGCCATTGCAATATAATGTACTGCATTTCAACTAAATATTGCATTTCAAGTAAATTAGATAATCGTGAGATAGTGTGATTAAGCTGTAACCGCGTTGAGGGACGACTGCTTCAAGCTCAAAGCTCAATCTCAATATCAATATCTGCCTTGATAAACTGTCACCCAATATTGGGAGAGCTTTTGCAAAAAGAGCTACAATTAAACGTTTGTTGTGTAATATAAAATCATCATTTTAGTTACATCATTACATGTAATAAGCGTGTTATTACTATTACATAATTATTTCAGCAACATTGATGCAATCAATCTTGAATTAGTTTCCCTGTAAGTTTAATTCAAAAGACGATCTTGCGTAAGAACTTACTAGTTCATACTTATTGTGAATATTTGTATATTTTTTTATGATATTGTGTCGTCTCCTCGCATTGAGTACCTGTCACAGGCGCGGCCGGCGCCCGCGCATATCATGTTTGCGCGCGATAACCGCGTTAGCGCCTGAATATTGATTCCTTTCGCAACGTTCCTAGAAAGTGAATTTTATTTGCACTGATAGCAAACCGGGTCACTCCAACTTAAAGTTATGCGGCCCATAACTGGGTCAAATTATTATTTATCGCATTTTTCTGTTTATTTTTGATGGATTATGCGGAGTTACAGGTGGGACTGGGATTTAGTAATATTAATGCTTTAGTTAGGGCTGTCTATTCCATTGCATGCTTTGTAGGGACTCAGTTCAAGTTCGTACTCTATTGTATTTAATACATGAATGCCATGCTATGAGTAATATTAGGCAATCAAATCAAGTAACTAAATAACACAGACAAAACGTTTTACTTCCCATTAAAATTAAAAAAGCTCGGGTTCAGTACTTAAACTTATGCCCCTGGTAGGACTTAACCCTTAAAATAAGCTAGCACTTACTACGCGGATTACTAGTGATGGTAATCTTCTTTTTTTGCATGTCAATCTTGAAAAACAAAAGCTCATAAACTTTGGCATCGGAGTCTGCTAAGCGGACATTTATAATAGACTAGTTTCCTAAAAAAAACTTTTATTCCATCATTTAATTATTATCACAAAATATTGGACAAGTATTTTTTTTGTCAATTAAACAAGTAATTACAAAGATATGATAAGTTCCACGTGACGTCACAAAGTTCTACGCTTTTTAAGCACTTCTTGACGGCACGGGTCTCTTCTTTTGAATTTAGGCGCGCTTTATTTCTTTAAGTTAAAAATACGTGTCGAGTATTTATTAATAAGTTAACTGGCGGACTAAATCAAACTTTTTCTTTTTACCCAGACTTGACTTAAGGTCTTATGTCCCCCAGATGAGGATTTTACCAGGAAACATCCCTATTCTATTAACTAGACAGCATGTTGTTTATGTAAATTCTATCTGGAAATATAACAGTGGGGTCTCTAAATGACTCACATACACATCGATAAAACTAACTGTGGAACTTTAATTGAATTGAATAAAAAGCTACACTATTTCCATGTTGATTTACACACAAACATAATTACTATTATCTATCCGTATTCTAATTACCGGCGTATCATTACCGTTACGATAGCATCTGAGCTAGTTTATGATGTGGCTGTGCGTACGCGCAGTTATTTATGCCTGGTTTCAATAAATTGAATGTTGCACCTGTTATAATCGTATACATTGTTAATAGGAAGTTATGGCTGGTTTAACTTTATAGTATTCAATTAACTAAAGCTGAGTACTTAGTCGTTGATTGAAAACTTGTTGTGTAGTTTTTCTACCCTTTTTTAACTGGCTTCTTGTGCTTGAATATTATAATCACAACGAGAAATTTAATGGTTATTTCATATCTATGATCTACATGTCTAACTGTGCAATTCATTTATTGCATGACCATGTGTTTAGTTACAGGCTGTTAATTTAAGTGAATGTACATAAAATACATCCTGTAGAGCACATGATTGTTGGTTATACTAACTTGTTACCTCTATTGCTTATTATTATTACAAACAAAAACTCTAGAGACCCCACATTCCGAACACCGAATGATTCAAATCTTCTTGAGGGTTTCGTTCGAAAGGCATCGCATTGCTTTGCAACAAAGACATATGATTCATTGATGCTGATTAATCCTAGTTAATCCCCGATGGATTTATTCATTGTATCTCACGTCTGGGCTGTTTCATCTTTGGTATTCGATTCCAATAAAATTGACATTAGTGTACCTACCACTATAAAATTTGGTTCGATTGATCGATTAGGATGTTGGAGTAACGTAACACAAGATTCGATTGCAAAATGAAAATACGTTAAAGCTTTTACTGCAGTCATGGACAAAAGTGACTTTAGATGAAGTAATTGCTTACTTCTGAAATATATTGTGATAACGACGGACAACTAAGGAACCCTACACTGCGCGTGGCACGACACGCACTTGACCAATTTTTTTACTTAAGATTTAACCCAGTTTTCTGGCAAACTCTATTTCTCTATTTCTTGTGGAAAAAAATACGTGATATTTCCCGAGACCCCCCCTCTCCCCCACGTGAGATTTGGTGAGGTTTTTGTTGACCCCCTCCCCCCCCTAAAAGCCTCACGTAATTTATGGACGCCCCCTAAAAACAAATCAAACCTTTGAGATAAGGTTCAATATCGTATGACTTTTGTGTGAGTGTTTCAATTTCAACCATAATAGACCCTAGTTCCCTTTCTCAGGTAGATAGACGGGGCTAGAGGGGGAGGGGGTGCCCATGTGAAGGGACCGCGCGGTCGTCGTACCTACCGTTACCGTCAGCCGTCAGCCCAGCCAGTTGAGCCAGTGTGCATTTACGCTTCACCGCGATCAGTTGTGCCTAAGCTCCCGTGGGCTGAGTGTGAGTTCGTCCTCACTAGTGAGCGCGTTACAAAATGTATGAAAATTGTAGTTAAACGTTCCGCTAGGGACGCTGTACAATCCGTCATTCATTTAATGTCATTTTTTGCGCGCTCACTAGTGAGCGCGTTTGATGTACACTCACACTAGGCCCTCGGAGTGCTTACCAAACCCAGTTTCGCCTTCAAGATCCGACAGTGAACCACAGATGAGACACCAGTCAACCAGTGAGGCAGTGACTGTGTTAGAGTAAGTAACTTAAGTTTGTGTGTTTTCTTTTTTTATTATTTTCTATTGACGTTCATAAGTGCCACTTGTGGTCTAAACTGAATAAATATTTTTTTGATTTGATTTGATTTGTGAATTTGTGACTGACGCTACCCTCGTAGCGTAGCGCCCACGCGCCTTTTGATAACCCAAAATAAACATGGCAACTACAGGCCTACAGCCCAGGACTTTTTTCAACTAACTTTCAATTACCGCTCATGCGCCTTTCAGAAGGCCATATTATTAAACTCTGTCTAGATTTTTGAAATTTCGCGGCTTAGAAAAATAATTTAATTCGATTTCTGAACGAAATATTAGGGAACAGTTTCCGGTATGCTACCATTGGCTGTCACAATTGACAGATGGGATTTTTTGAAAAATGGCCGGCGGTATGGACGGCTCTCTAACACGTAGTTAGTAAATCGCATTTTTTTATGATAATCCGTGGTTGTCGAGTATGTTTTTATGCAAAAAGTTGCTAACGAATAGGTAAATTACGTAACCCGGCGCCAATGACGTGAAAATAATTGCAAAGACGATGACCCCGGGTCATATTGACCCACATTTCATCGATCGTTTTTAAGGAAATTGTACAAGTAATCTTAATTTTAATTACTGTCTATGTTAGAGTTCTTTACTGAGCTAATAAAACAAAAATAAAACGAATACATGAAATAAATATTTTTTTATGAATTTTTAAATCATGTATAGAAACACATTTGAGTATATATTTTTTATTTTTGGTAAAGTTTTTAATATTAATAGGAATCAACTATGTTAATAGTAAAAAAGAGATAAAATCAACTTTTTATATGCAGATACAATGAGATCAGTCNGTATGTATCATCTGTGATAGGTTTCATTTGTGTCCGCTACTTTTCGAAAAGTGGGGCAAAAAGTTGTCCCAATGTCATTTCGCGCCTACCTCAACGCATACACCTTTCATCCTTTTAAAATGGCACGGAATAATTCTGTCTACATTTCCAAGTAACATCTGCCGATCTATGTTTTTCTTAAAATAAATGGGTAAAATGTTTTGGCTAACATGGCATCCCTAAATTCACTCACACAATAGACAAACGCCAAAATTTTGCGTCACAGTTTTGTTGTAGCGCGAGTTCCGTCCGCCTTTTTTTATAGGTCCATGCTGCAGGTGTGAATACTTCATACTTTATTATAAAAATACTTTATTATTTATTAAAAGTATGCAAATTATATGCGAATCAAAACCAGACTAAATGCTGACATCCTGAACACCGTCCAGGAATTTGATCGCAAGCGCGATACTTCCTTATCGCCTCTTCGTTGATTCTGATGTTTACAATAATGATGGGTCGCTTATCTCTGAAGGTAGCAGGTTCGCTTCCCGTCAGTCATTATGCAGACACGTGTCGGGCTTTATATCACAATATCGTGCATACCTTCGTATGTATTTGCATAGAGGAGCACCTCAGTCAAAGTTAGACGATAACAGCTAGTCAATGTTGTACGAGTCCCCAACATTTAGGCTGAGTTGCACCACCTAACTTTGACCGTAACTATAACGAAAACCGGTGATTTTTGTATTGAGTCTGACAGATTTTTGACGTTTGTTAAAGTCAAAGTAAGATAATGCAACCCGGTCTGTTTTTGACACCATCCTATTCTGAAAATTATAAATAACTTGAAAAAATCGAACTGCCTAAGGCGGGAATTGAACCCCTTAGGCAGTTCGATTTTTTCAAGTTATTTATAATTTTCAAATTAGTTTGAGATGCGACTCTTAACGCTAAAAATTAAATAACCATCCTATTCGTTTAAGATTTTTATGGGTCTCAAAATGAGCTAGTGATGTGAAAAGATTTAGTTAGATACGTACTCTAGTAATCTCAATTGATATAGTACTGACTGTAATTCAGTCTACATAATTATCCTTAAAGTTGTCGCCCAACGATATCGGCCTGTGTTATCTCCGCGGGCTGTTCCGGGGGCAGGTGAAACAATGCGGCGTAATTGTATTATTTAATTGACGATAAAACAATTAGCTCCGTAATCACACGTCACATCGTAATTATGCGTTCCGTATTAGGGTAATAGTTCCCGGGAATTTCGACGGGGGCGCTTTTTGTCGCGATTTGCGTACGCGCCGGAAGAGCGCGCTTTGCTCGCTCAATTGGGTATTAACATTGTTAGCTTTTTCTAAAAGGGTTAGTTGTTATTATCTAATGTCTGGAGGAATTGACACCTCGGTTACTGCATAGCTATTTTCTTCCTTAACTTATTAAGGAAGAAAATAAATTAATTTGAAGGCAAATTGAAGGTACGTTTTCAGCGGAATTAAAACATTTGATAAGAGCCAGTTTATTTGTTAAACGTTCTTCATTTAAACTTTTAGGAGTCCGTGTTGATCATTAGAACAATAAGAAAACTCTATGTTGATCTCCATTTAGAACAGTACAATTCAGAACAGCAATTGATAGCCATGGTATGGTTAACTCTGTCAATGGAGAAGGTGTTTTTCTTTCTATTGTGATCTCGTGAATTATGGTTGTTAATGATTTTCAGCTTGTGCTAACAGTTCTCATAAAAAGACGTAAGAAGCCTTTATTTTCCATTCAATGTTTTCCATGACACATTTTGAGTGGGTTGGCTGAGTTTAGTAGTTTTTGCGAGTTCCAGATATTAAGAGATCTCGTCTCAATTCTGTTTATCATAACTACAGATCTTTTATCTAAGATCTCTGTAGTAACAATATCATTGGCAAACATTACTTTCTCCCAATATCTGTGTAATTGATGTTTAATTTATCATATCCCCACTATCTTAATTCAACAATCTGAAAGTTGAATCACTTTTAATATTGAAATGAATGCAACAATGTAGCAAGATGGATCGTGTGGAAATCATAACCGGACGCGGACGGGTTCGATTCCCGACAGCAGTTATTGCGCATGAATATGCATGGCTGCAAACAATCTACTGAAGCTAAGGTGTTAACTGCAGTGGCGTAGCGTGGCTTTTCGCCGCCCGGGGCCATCCGGAAATCCGCCGCCCTTTATTTTAATTATAAATATTTTAAAGTTTAAATATTATATTGAATGGACTTCAGGTACACTATTCACCTTATTTGTTGAAAGTCAAAATAAACTACCACGCACTGCTTCAAAAGGAAAATACATTAAAGAGAAGCAATTGCTTGAAACCCACAGGAAGTTTGATTTTCTTAAATAGCTCAGCTTTATTATGTAACACTAGGTGTATAACAATAAACAATAATAACAAGTATTAAAGTATTTATTTGTCAATTGAGAGTAAATATTATCTTTAATTAAACAGGGTGGAAACGTTAAGTGATCTCACTCGATTATTTCTAAACTATACAAGATATTGCAAAACTGGTCACTGATCCTGAAAGTGCTTCATGAGCTCTTTCAAACGGCACCAATAATAGATTACAGAATAAATCTGGATCTATCTAAAAATTCAATGTTTCCAACTTCCATACTAAATGTATGCCAGACACACAATATTAGAAGTGTATTTTTTTTATTGAATAATAAACTCTACAAATAAACTCATGAATTGTATTCTTGTTTAAAATTATTCATGGATAACATTGGTTTTAGGCTTTACTTGCTATAATATTGTCAAGAGATGAGTGTCATGACTGTGGTAGTAGTACCAAATGTATGGAAGAAGGAAACATTGAATTTTTGGATACATCAAGTTTATTCTGTAACCTAATATTGATACCATTGGATAGAGCTTGTGAAGCACTTTTAGAACCAGTAATCAGTTTTACGATATCATGTGTAGTTTTTAAAATAATGTGACTTTACCAAATGTATGGAAGCTGGAAACATTGAATTTTCGGATAGATCTAGTTTATTTTGTAACCTATTATTAATACCGTTTGATAGAGCTTATGAAGCACTTTCAGGGTCAGTAACTAGTTTTTTGATATCTTGTATAGTTTAGAAATAATCGAGTGAGATCACTTATAGTTTCCACCCTGTATATAGTGCTCATTGAACTTAGAAGGAATAACATATGTGCTTAAAAGGGTTGTACCCTAGCTAACCAGCGCCACCATATTTTTTCTTGATTACTTTTGTTATAGACCGAAATTAAAAAAAGTGGATTGAAAAATGTATAATATGTACCGAAGCTATTCTTTAAAATAATTTGTTTGAATTCATTAGATATTTGCAGCAAGTTACAGATTTAATTACTGCTAAAAGTTACCATTTTAGCTAATTTTGAATTTCGAACTTGCAGAATATAATAAATACACGGTTTTAAAAGTAGCTTAGATAGCTTTAACTATTTACAAACCACTTTTTTATTTCGGTTTGTAACAAGAGAAATCACGAAAGATTATCTGTGGCGCAAGTTTTAGAGGGGTAAGTAAGCTCCTTAAATATTTTTGTTACTATTACTTAAAAAATAGATTAAAAATGTACTCTTCGTGCTGTTGTTAATGTTTTTTTCGTGCTAATATTTTTTTTCTTATCCGCCGCCCCCTTTCATATGCCGCCCGGGGCCATGGCCCCCCCTGCCCCCCCCAAGCTACGCCACTGGTTAACTGTTTTTGTGCCGAATGTATGTCGAGTTGAGGAGCTGTTTTTGTATCGTGAACTAAAAAAGCTTTTCCTGCGAAAAAATGTATACTTATAAAAAACTCGATTCAAATTCTCTATTTCATCGATTCGTACTAGTCGTACTAGCAGTTATTATTAAGTATATAGGCCAGTAGAATTAAACACAAAAATTGATTAAATCGGAAATAATTCCTACAAAAGATTTTTTTGCTTTAATGGCTTCATTGGTTGCCCATTAAGACTCTCCTAAGTTTTCGACTTCAACGGAGTTGTGCTTAAGTGGTGGGGGCCCCCGAAAGGGGCGTTTTTTCGGTTTTCCGGTTATACCGCGTAAAGAACTTACCCTATCGAAAAGTGGTCTTCATGACGGCTAAAGGGCACTTAATCCT